GACCTGTGGCTCCACAGGCGATGGGCACTGGTGTCACACCCAGATCAGTCAGGAGGAAGCAGAAGTAGGTTGCAAGATACAAGCAGGGGTAAAGGTCAACCACTGCCACCAAATGTTTTTGGCTACCCCTTGTTTTTCCCTACTGAGTAAGGACTTATGGGAAATGGTGTCCATCTGGGGAAGATGCTGTAATGGGAAAAATCAGTAACTTGAGAAGACACAGTCTTTTATTGATCTGTAGCTTTCTAGACTGGGAAAAGGCAGAAAGAACTTTCTAGAAACTTTGGCCTAATTTCTAGAAGCTCCCCAACAGCAAACAAGACTTTTATTTGCCGATCTTTCTTCCGGTCTTCATGCAAAGGCTCAAACGCTTGAGTGCGCATTCGCATTCTGGTTTGCCTGTGCGCCCTGGACGTGGGAGTGCTCTCTGTCTCTGTCAGCTCTGGAAGTGTTCTAGAAAGAGCACGTTTGTAAGCAGTGGGCCCATATCATGGTCCCAGGAGCCTTGGTTTGAAGGAAATTAGAGAAGACTTAACAGCAGTGAGGTGACTCCGGCCAGTCTGAATGAAGAGCAACCCGACCAAAGGGATAGTGAGATTTGTCTCCTAGAGATGGAAGATGGCCGGGTGGGGAATGTTCTCACAGCCAACCTAGAGTGGGGCCTTCAAGACCTTCCCACCTCCAATGCTCTCACAGGTGTCACCTTCTTTGGTTTATACTCGAGAGTCAGCATATTGACTGGTAAATCCTACATGTAAGCCCAATTCATACCTGTTTCCACGCCTCTGCCAAGAGTCCCCACAGCACTGTTGCTGCTGTTGCCACAGGTGGTGGTGACGGTGATGATGGTTATTGTGTTGGTGACGGTGATGATGGTAGAGGTGGTGGCAATGGCAACAATGGTTATTGCAGTGGTGATGGTGATGACAGAGGTGGTGGTGATGATGGTGATGGTTATTGTGGTGATGATGGTGATGGTTATTGTGGTGGTGATGGTGATGGTTATTGTGGTGATGATGGTGATGGTTATTGTGGTGATGATGGTGATGGTTATTGTGGTGATGATGGTGATGGTTATTGTGGTGATGATGGTGATGGTTATTGTGGTGGTGATGGTGATGGTTATTGTGGTGATGATGATGATGGTTATTGTGGTGATGATGGTGATGGTTATTGTGGTGATGATGGTGATGGTTATTGTGGTGATGATGGTGATGGTTATTGTGGTGATGATGGTAATAGTTATTGTGGTGATGATGGTGATGATGGTAGGGGTGGTGGCAATGGCGACAATGGTAATTGTGGTGATGGTGATGGCAGAGGTGATGACGGTGATGGTTATTGTGGTGATGATGGTGATGACGGTGATGGTTATTGTGGTGATGATGGTGATGACAGAGGTGATGGCAGTGATGGTTATTGTGGTGGTGTTTTGCTCTTGTTTGGAGGACTATGCTACCAGTAGATGTAAAAATACATACACAGGGAACCAACAATGATGATCCCTGAAATTATTACCACTAGCTCCAATGGTGTTAAAACAATGTGCCCATTTGGTATCAAGTATTTTCACCTGGGTTATCTTGATCATATTAAGCAAGTCTATGTGGTTTGTTCTCTTACTAGTGCCATTTTATAGATGAGAAAAATGAAGACTCGCAGGTGTGAGCTTGGTTCCCACGGTCCTGAAGCTGGACCTTTGTGAACAGTAAAATCCAAGTCTTTCTGAGTCAAGAATCAAGTTCCTGACCACGACACAACTGATCGCTTCCAGGAAATATCTCATAAGTTTTACCTTTACTCCTTTATGCTCTGCAGTTATGAAGTGAGGAAGTGACTCACTTTTCCACCTAGTAAAGAGAAAGCCCTAAGCCAGGCTATAGGGAGGTAGTCCATGCACTTAGCCCCACAGGGCCACCCAGAAAGAGCTACAGAGTAAGAGCACTGGGCTATGAGTTACTCCTCACAGTGGCTGTGAATGCTTCCCAGGCAGAATGGGCATGGAAGTCTGTGTATCTCTTCTGCATGAGAATTATGGTAACTTCAATGTCAATGTACGTATTTAATAGGAACACAATGTTACATCTTACAAAACTTAAGGACCTGACTGATTTTTATCTCAATCTATATTTATACAGTTCAGAAAGCAAGATTTATCCTCAGCCCCGAGATGGATGAGTTTCTGAACACATGTGGCTTTCATGAACTTGACAATTCACTCCTTACTTGAGAGGTTACAAGCAGAAGACAAACACCAATCTGCCAGGAGTCACAGACAAGGCAGGACGTAAAACGCTTTGCTCTCCTTTGCTATCATAATTTAACCTTGGCCATGAGCCCGTGGAATGGAAAGTTGTTTTCCATGTCATCTTTGGCCTTTGTGTCTCTACTATTAATTTTTCAACTGCCAAGCCGTTAGGAGACAAGCTCTAGAATGGAAAAATTAGATGTGACTCTACTTGCCAGCAAGCTAAGATTCTAGACCTGGGATGCAATACCATTAACTCCAAGATTCTGTGAAAGACATTGCGGGGGAAATATCACTCCAATGCATGTTTCTAAATGCAACCCATACTGAAGGCTATGGCACCGTCTTGTCCTGTGAGAAGTCTCCAAAAATGTGAGGGCTGTTTGCACAGCTTGTCTGTCCATGTGCAAAGCACCGACGTGGTTCAAGTCAGCACCTTCCTGGGAGGTGTTGGCTGTGGTTTTCCCGGGACTTTCATGAAACCCATGTTCAGCTAAGCACAAAGCCCCATCCTCTTGACCATGAGAATAAACAACTGGTACAACTCTGTCTTTTTTCTTTGTCAAAGCCCAATTAGGGCTTGCATCAAGTGTCACATGTCACCAAGCTAAGAGAGAGTGAAGAGGAGACACAAAGGTGACGGGATGCCCACAGGAGCCAGAGGAACTACTTGCCTTGAGCTCTGGGTTGCAGGACTAGAGGCCTGATGGGTCACTCCATCCTGGGAGTCTCCGCAACGTTCCTCTGAACTGCCACGGTCAATATGCTCCCTGTTCATGCTTAGAGTGGTATGGATTTCTGATGCCTAAAGTCTATAGAACATCTTGAGAGAGAAACAACTATTTGGTCATGATCCAAAGATGACAAGTGTTTACCACCTACTCATGACCTTACATCCCCTTTAGTAATTTATTATTTATTGACCAGGATAGTAATGTAAACAAATGTCAGTTCTGTGGCTACATGACAAAAGATTTGTAAGCACATTTCTTTCATGAGTCAGTTATGATGAAATAAGCTGCCATGTTAGAGAGGCCTATACAGCAAGGAACAGAGTGCTCCTCCAGCCAGTAGGGGAGTGAGGCCTCCAGCCTCACAGTTCATAGCTGCTGGATCCTGCTACAGACATATGAATGGCCATGGAAGCAGACCCTTCCCCGGGCAGACAACATTGCAGTCCAGATCCACACAGCCTCATGCAGGGTCCTGAGGCAGAGCCCTGGGCTAAGCTGTTCCTGGATCCCTGCCCCACACCCCCAACTGTGAGAAAAAGTGCTTTTTAAATCAATACGTTTGGGGATAATACGTTATGCAGCAGTAGATGACAAACACAGGTTATTATGCAGGCACTTTCCTTTGGGAAAGGCAGATTCAATTCTGACTACAGAAGAGTTTCCCATCCAAGGGTTAAAAAGTAGAACAGTGTTGCATGAGGCCAGGCCTGGAGGAGGTGGGAGGGGACTAGGGAGTAACTGCTCAGGGGCTTGGGAGGTCAGAGGTGACCAGGCTGCTTTTTAACTGACTTTAGTGATGGCGGTAGTATTTTGTGGATGTACTATAAAGTGATAGTCTTCAAATAAGTGAACACGGGAATCATAATTCAATAAAACCATTATCTTTAAATTATTACTTTATTCCTATTAGGTTTTAGTATTAACTGATTTTTTTCCCCACTCATATAAAATGGAGACACATGTCACAAAACAAAATCAGTTGTTGGCCCAGGACATCAGCAGTGCAACCATCAACCAGGCATTTGCTACCTCCAGACCATACGCCCTTGAGTCCCCACAGCTGCTAAGAAAAGCCTCCATTGATCTAAGACCTATGTCTAAATCTATGAAAAGCCAGGACCTGGAGGCAGAAAAACTCCTTCACTCTGCTCGGGTCCCAAGCCTCAGCTCTAGCTGCTAGGGACAAGAAGAGGAGCCATGAATGACTTCAAGAGCATCTAAGGCAGAGGGCAAAGCCCTCACCTATCCCGACTCTCCTATTTGGTGCGATATGGGCAACGTGGTTGCAGTAACTCCTCATGCAATGGAAAAGGATCCTAGAGAGATGATAAAAACATAGAAATTAAGATCTGCTCATTCTGGACCCACCAGAGGGACAGAGACCAGCGTCTTCAAAAGTCAGGCAGAAGGAGCGATTGACAGAGGCCTCGGGTCTCCATCTGCCTCTCTAACATCAGAATGGAAGCCAATAAATAATCTGTGTTCAGATCAGCTGACAGCTTGCAATGTTCCAGCTCCAAGTGCCTTCCACAGTCATTCCTTTGATACTTGCTGCAGGGCTAAGGAGGGGTGACATTATGGTCTTACAGGTGAAGGAGACAGCAGGTGAGAGAGCTGGGACCAGCCTAAGGCAGGTAGGGCCAGGCTGGCGTGCCTGCGGGGTGCCCCCTGGGCACCGCCCTCGGTCCAGCAGGAGAAGCCCTGGAGCATTGTGGGAATACAAGCACGGGGGTCCCAATCAGAACACAGGCACACGGCCCAAGCCCTGCTCTGCCCTCTGTCTTTCCCAGCTTGTAAATCCATTCCCTTGCGGACAACACCATGACCCGTTTTCAGCCTGTTTTCCAGAAACAGGAGTACCCAAGTTCATGAGACCATTTATTAAGCTCCCATCATGGACCAGTCATTGAGCTTAGATCTGGGTTTTCATGGTGGGTACATGATCATGGAGGGTGCCTCTCCCCTGGAGCTGACAACAACTTCAAAAACATTCAATCACTGGCTAGGTTGTTTTTAAGTTAAGTCAAGTGCAGCAGAGGAATTGAAGCTCATAGTATATAAGAGATCTAAAGGGGGGCTAACTTCTTTGGGGCTCCAGAGGCCGCTGTGCGGAGGCCATGCGCCTAAGTTAATACCTTAAGGATGAGAAGGTGACCCGAGCAGGTGGGAGGAGGCGGCGGCAACGTTGGAGCAGAATTGCTGGTGAATACAGAACCCCGAGGCTGGCAAAGAGGGTCCTGTTCATGTCTGTCTGTGTATTGTATGGCCACTTCAGACCCACTTGGACGGCAGTTATCAAAAAGGCAGAAAATTCAAAGCGTGGATATGAAGAGTCAAGAAGCCTCACCCACGACTGGTGGGCATGTGAAGTGGAGCGGCTGGTGTGGCAATGTGTGGCGGGTCCTCAAAATGGTAAAGCTGGAGTCGCCATTCGATCCAGCGATTCCACATCTAATTTGTACCCCCAAAGACTTGGGGTTCAACATGTTCTGTCCATCCATGTTCACAGTAGCATTATTCATGTCACCAGAGGTAGGCGCAAGCCAAGAGTCCATCAGCAGGTCAGGCAAGGCTGCAGCCTCAGAGCCCGTGTATGGAGGGTGGGCAGGATGTCAAGAGTCACATTAGAGCCTCTGGGGACTGTCACTTTACCAGTCACAGCTTCACTGTTGGGAGGCAGATACCACAATCCCCATTTTACAGATGTGCAACACTGAGGCCCAGAGACGCTAAATAAATAACTGGGAATCTCTAAGTGATAGAACTGGCAGGGGGGCTCATATACCCAGCCCCAAGCCCTTTCAGACCAGCAGAAAAGTTCTAGATCCTGGCTGTACATCACAGACCCCTGGGATCTGAAACAGAACTTGTGCAGGTGTTGGGAAACCCTTGCCTGGATGTGGCATTTTTAGAAGAACACACGCCCAGGTGCTCAGTCAAAGTCAGTATTCAATGTTCAAACAGGGAGGCTGAGCTCGGCTGCTCTGGCAACCAGGGCAGACGCTTCCAGCCGGGGAGATGCTAAGAGACTGATGGATGTGAACTCCATTCAGGTCCTGTTTGCATTCTCTTGGCTCCCCACCCAGCTGCCTTTGATGGTGTGAGTCGCCCACAGACACCTCATAGCAGAGCCTTTGATATCCAGGCATGTGCAGCCACAGGGAGCTGTCTTACACCTGAGGACATGGGAAGAACTAAGGGAAACAAATGGCAGGACTCTTGGGGACAAGGCAATGCCTGTGGGAGCCTCGGAGAAGATGTCCCTCTTTGATATTTGTTTCTCCAGCCAACTAACTCAAGTGTTTGCAAAATCAGTTCTGGCCACTGGCCAATTATTGGCTATTTCTCCAGTCATCTCTGGATCGTACAGAGAGATGGGGAAGGCTTCCAGGCCCATAGATGGAGACACAGATAGAGAAAACACAAGGCAGAACCAGGGAGGTGACTCAGCTGGGAAAATGCTTGCCACACAAGTATGAAGGGCTGACCTCGATCCTCAATGTAAATGCCAGCACAATCCCTGGAGCGCTCTAGCCAGCCATTTGAGCTGAATCAGGGACTCCAGACCAGTCACAGACCTTAGCTGAAGGACAGAGATTGAGGAAGGCACTAGACATTGACCTCTAGCCTCCACACAAATGCACATGCACACACACACACACACACACACACACACTCGTGCACACTCACATGCACATCCACACACATGCGCACACCCACACACGAAGAGCTGTATGTATCTGTCCTCTGTCCTCTGCTCCATGGCACAGTGGTGGAGATGGACTCGGGACTGAACATCCCTGTTAAACAATTTACCGGACAGTTCTCTAAAGCTTGGTTTCTCTGTTCATAAATGAGGAGGAATCATGCTGTTCCCTGGGTTTGCTGTAAAGATGAAAAGATAAAATAGACACAAAATTCAAGCCCCCCCACCCCGCAAGTGGGAAGGCACCCCTGAAATGCAGCTACCCCTGCCCTCTCAGGGAAGCCACAACCCTCGCTTTAAGCCCCTGACTCTCAGGTGGAGGCCAAGCTTCCCTCCCTGCCATGCCCGACTCTGCACTTGCCAATGTCGGAACATCGCTGGATGTCACCGTTGAAACCCGAAGGATGATACTGGCCTCTAGTGGGTAGAGACCAGCTCTGTCGCTAAGCACCCTACAAATCACAGAGGCTCCCTACAACAAGGAAACACCCCGCCAGAACCAAGCTGGCTAGGAGTAGTGCTAGAGAGAAGGGAGGGGGAGGGGAACCCTGCTCTCATTCGTTGACCAGGAAAGCTCTCCTAGAAATAATTCCCTGCTTGTTCTCCTGATGTGGCTGTGGCTTTCCTGGCTTCCCTACACTCTCTACATTCTTGAGAGCAGTGAGGGATTGTACAAGATGAATGTGAGTGTGTGTGTGTGTGTGTGTGTGTGTGTGTGTGTGTGTGTGTGCGCGCGCGCGCGCGCGTGCACAGGCCATATTACCAGCCCACAACATTTCATTTGATGTAATTTAATAAACAAAGTGAAAACATATGATATGAGTAAAAGAGCAATAGTATTTAGGGTCACAACACTCACATCATATATTCCACCAGGACATCGTGGTAAATGCAGATGTTGGCCCCACCAGGTCTGAGGTGGAGGCACTAACTTCTGGCATTGCTTATTTGCTACGATGGTTGATCTCGGTTGTCATCTTGACAGGATTTGGAATTACCTAGGAGATACGTCTCTGGGCGTGTCTGTGAGGGCATCTCCTGAGAGGATTAATTGAGGGAAGGCCCATCCTCAAAGTGGGCAGCACCCTCCAACAGATGACGCACATATAGACAGGTCTGAGGTAAAGTGCACCACCCAGCCACCTTCACTTACAAGCAAGTGTGTCCATCACTGCAGCCCCAAACCTCTGCTGACCTCAAACCCCTGCTTCTCCGGTTTCCCAGTGAGGACTGAGTACCAGGGCCAGACGGAGGCTGCAGAGGCATCAGCTTTGTGGGCTGAGCAGCTATGAGTTCTCAGCCTCTGTGGGAGGCAGTCAGTCATTGCTGGATTCCCCAGTCCCTGTGTCAGCCAATCCAATAAATACCTTTTATAATATACATGCGTCCTAATAACACTGCCTAACACAGTTGGTTTAGTTTGACTTGGAAGTTATTTTTATTTGTTTTGTTTTTGTTTTATTTGTTTGTCTCACTGTGTCCTGTGTGAAACTTTAGACGTCTTGACTCAGCCTCCAGAGTGCTGGGATTACAGGTGCTCAGCTGTGCTTGCGTTTGTAACAGGCCCCCAGGTAGGGCTGATACTGATGACCCAAGTCTTGGCTAGATAAGAGAGACAGCCCGTGACCCAGCCAGGGCTTTGTATACTTGCCCACATCACGGAACTGTGCTAGACCTTAAGTCAAGGCTCAAGATTCTAAGGCAATTCCCTCCTAGGTACTAGGTGAACCGTTCTCTCAACATCAGAACAGTTTCCACAAGGTCTTGGACACTGTGGGCTAAGTAGTAATGGGTTTCTTTTTATTACTAAAACCTCCTGAATTTGATTATGTTTGTAATAACCATTAGCCCCTCTCTAGCATCCACATTCTCCGATTATGCTGCGCACAGCTTCTCCCGTGCCGTCACGTGAATCTTCGCCCACATCTTCCAGGAACACTCAAGCGCAAACTCAGAACTTCCCCCAGGCGATCCCATCTCCACCCTGTCAGCATCTGCATTGGGCAACCTTCCATTCCCTCATTACTGCAGACAGACTGCCCTCCCTACCTCTAAGACTGTATCTCATATGCACACCTTCACACACGCTGCTCAGCAGGCTTCCCTCTCTTTCCTCACACACATTATTTCTGTGGCCTATAATCATGCTAAAATGTCTCTGTTAAAAAGCAAATGTTTATCTGTTTATTGATTACTATTTTTACTAGGATATATCAATTGTACAAAATAGTGAGTTCCCTCTAGCTGAGGAGCCATTGGCAGTTGATGCCTTCTGGGAGAGAGTTTTCTTTGGGGATGTGGCCCCCGAGAGGTTACCCATGCTTCAGTAGAAGGCCCTGTGCCTACACACGTGCAGGTAGCACCAGGTGGCCTCAGTGGTTTTTTAAAAATAACACACATGAAGTTGGGCGGGGGTGATGGGGAATGGGGAGGAATTGAAGGAGAGGAAATTGGAGATAAATCGGATCAAAACATTACATGCACATATAAAAAATCCCTTGATGGGAAGAAGTTTGTTAGAATTTGTCTTAAGAGTGACGTGGTTCAGCAGACGGGGGGAGTGGGGGCAGGCAAAGACATTTGTGACCATGACTGACCAATTGAGTTTGTTCCCCAGGACGCAGGTGTTGGAAGAAGAGAACTTATTCCCATAGACTGTCCTCTGAACTCCACTTGTGTGCCTTGATCACAAGTGTACATTGAAGCAAATGCGCGCACGCATGCACTCGCGCGCACACACACGCACTATTTTAAAAGACTGAGTTAAACCCGTAGTTGTCACAGGATGGTGTCAGTCCTAACTGACGGCCTGTGTGACAAGTGGGGCAAATTAAATAACGGGGAAAGAAGGGGTTAAGATCGCTTTTAAGAACTGCCAAGGGCTGACACTGTTCGGCTGCCCGTCCACCCCTGAAAATGCCAGTCAGCTATAGAAGTGTTTGCACGAAGCAGAGGGTCAGCATCCCAAACCCAAGGCTCTGAGAAGAGAAATCCTTTCCGTTCTGAAACATCTTGAGTGCCGTGTGATGCCACAAGTGGAAAATTCCCGCTGGACCACAGTGAGGGTGCAGTCAAACCACGGTGCTGGAGCACAGAGAGGCTGCACGAAACCGCTGCTGGGGTGTGGAAGTGTGTCTCAGCAGGCTCACGTGTTGAAGGCTTTGTTCACAACTTGTGGATCCAGTTGTTTAGTGGTGTTTGGGTCATGAGGAGCTCAACCAATTCAGCCCTGGATGGCGGCGGTGTTCAGGGGAGGTGGGGCAAGCAGGAGGTGGGATCTGGTTACATCCTAGATACATCCTAGATACATCCTACGAAGATGTATCTTATCACCTCCTCTGCTTCCGTTGTTCTGCATCCCGGCTTTCATTCGGCAAGCTCTTTGCCATGACACGGGGTCTTACCTCAAGTAGCCATGGGTTGAAATCTCAAATTGTGAGCTAAAATGAATCCCTCTATCTGCTGTTTCTGTGGTGCGAGGCTAACACAATTGCCTGTGTGTTATGCGTATGTATATGCAAGGTCTACGTTAACCACGATGAATTTGAGTCTAGAGTTGGGCTGCATCCCCAGGATGCTTCCTTATGCATATGTAAGTATTTCCAAGTCTAAATTCAAACTCCTAAGCATTCCTGATAAGGGATTCTCAACCGCATGCGAAGAGCCGTCTTCAGAACAGCCAGTTCCTTGACACCTGACAGAAGGGAAAAAGTCAGTTATTTTTGTCACTTCCCCCTGCTGACCTGTGTACAGTACAATGACCCCAGAGCCTTGCCCTGTGACTAAGTGCTCAGCGGCACAGGCTAGTTTATATTAGTGTAAGCACTGTCCACCACGCGCCTTCCTGCTCCCTGTGAGACCATCATCCTCAAAGCCTCTACAAATAACACAAAGCTTGTCTTTGGAAGAAAGGGCAAGGCTCACTTGTTAGGGGAATCTGCTCCCAGTGTGTACAGAACGCTGGCTCCTTTGCAGCTTTCAACAAGGAAATGAAGTGCTCACAGGAAGCTTGGGATTGAAGGCAGCTGGAGGTCAGCTCATGTCAGGGACAGAGCACTCGCCTGGCATCTGCCAGGACCCAGGTTCATTCGATCGCTAGTGTTTTGTTTTGTGTTTTTTTTTTTTTGTTTGTTTTTTTTTTTTTTTTTTTTTTTTTTTGGTTTTTCGAGACAGGGTTTCTCTGTGTAGCTTTGCGCCTTTCCTGGAACTCACTTGGTAGCCCAGGCTGGCCTCGAACTCACAGAGATCCGCCTGGCTCTGCCTCCCGAGTGCTGGGATTAAAGGCGTGCGCCACCACCGCCCGGCTTGTTTTGTGTTTTTAATGTTAAAAAAGAAGGAAGAGTGAATGCCTTTAGTTCTAGTACTTGAGAGGCAGAGGCAGGAGATCTCTGAGTTTGAGGGCAGCCTGGTCTACAGAGCAAGTTCTCTCTCTCTCTCTTTCTGCATCACACATTAACACGAGTGTTATTGTACTTAGCAATCAGAACACACCTGACCTACATGGTAAAGTATGGGTTAAGCTTTGCTCTGGTAGTAAATAAATAAAAATTAAGTACATGCACACTTCCTTTCCCTGCCCATGAATACATGGGCCCTAAAATAAGTGGGAAAGATAAAAAATCAGATTTTTTTTTTTTAAAAAAAATAAGTACCATAAATACATGTGGAAAAGTTTCGTTATTTTCTGGTCCTGTGTCTCAGTGGCCCCATCTCTAAAATGGGGGCATGAGGCAAGTCCGGAAGAGTTATTTATAGCATTAGAAATGAAGGGCGCCCAGCGCCTGAGGTAGTAAGTACAGCAGACACCCGATAAGCTGCTCTGGTGCCGGCAAGTGGCGGAGGCTGCAGTTCCAGCGAGACCGCAGACATTCCGTTCCCCGGGTGACACTCAGGTCACAGAGCTGCAATTCTGCTCACAGATCAAGCTGCACATAGCATACCTCTCTGATCTGTGCCACCCACTGCTGCCGTTTTTGTTCGGCACGTCAGAAGGAAAGAACTTGAGCGGTTCATGATGAAATGAGAATCAATCCAGAGAGAGTGTTTTCACCCTGGGAAGTTCTTATTGGCGGGGCTGACCGAGCAATAGCCGCCTCGCTGTATTAGTCTCGTTTATCATAACTAAGAACTTTCCCGGCTTGTTGTGGTGGAGGCATGCCTGTAATCCCAACAGTTGGGAACAGAGGCAGGAGGATCAGGAATGCAAGGCCAGCCTGGGCTACCAGTGAGTGTGAGGCCAGCCTGGGCTACCAGTATAAGTGTGGCCTGCCTGGGCTACCAGTATAAGTGTGGCCTGCCTGGGCTACAAGTGAACGCGAGGCCAGCCTGGGCTACTAGTGAATGTGAGGCCAGCCTGGCCTACCAGTGTATGTGTGGCCTACCTGGGCTCTTTGAGACTTCCACTCAAAACAAAGGAAGTGAGGGGATTTAAAAACTAAGAATAGATATCCAGCCTCTCCACTGAAAGAAGATCCGATGGTTTCATTGCTGTCTCACGTTGCATAATTAGTTCCACTGGGATGATACTCTGGAGGAACTCAGGAGATGTTTTCTGGGGCTCAAATGCAACTGAAAAGGAAAAGATAAGTCAAGACATCCCCAGGGCCTGGGGGTGTAGCTCAGGAGTACAGTGCTCACCAGGCAAGCACAGGCCCTGAGTCTGATGCCCAACATGAGAAACTAATCCACAATAAAAATCCCTTCTGCTTCAGTGCCTGTGTTAAGAGCTTGGCATAGCTTGTGGATTTAAACAATGGCTCCCCTGGAGATTAGAAATCATTCTTCTCATTCACTTGAAGTAGAGATGATGATATACAATGTTTAGCATAAAACTTAACTGTTGTGGAATAATCTTTTTTTACATTGTGAAGATGTGTCTCTGCCTAAGGCACCTTGTGATTGGTTTAATAAAGAGTTCAATGGCAATAGCTAGGCAGAAGGAAGTTAGGTGGAACTTCCGGGCAGAGAGAGAAAGAGGAGATGAATCTAGGTGTGGGAGAGACACCAGAGGGCACAGAGAGGAAACAGGAGGTACAACATGGAAGTGAGGTAAAAAGCCACAAGGTAAAATGTAGATTAATATAAATGGGTTAATTTAAGGTATGAGAGCTAGAGGAACAAGCCTAAGCTATAGGCCAAGCTTTCATAATTAGTAAGTTCCTGTGTTGTTTCTTTGTAAGCTGGCTGTCCCAAAGAAAAATCTGTCTACATTAACAAATTGCACTCCAACTCCAGAGCAGCTGTGGTTCAGCAGCACTAACAATAAGAGCAGCCTAAGGTGCAGGCCCACCTGGGTTTGTTTTTATTTCACCGTGAGCATGGCACCCTTCCTTCTGACTTGCAACATAGTTACCTTTTTTTCTTTCTCTTTTTTCCCTCTCTGTTACTGTGGTTAATCTCATCCTGGGATTCTGGAATCAGATCCTTATGAAAACAAAGCTTTGAAGAAGCCACCTGATTTCTCCCAAAACCTCAAGCCAGCAGCGACTCAAGTCACCACGAGACAGCGAGGACTAGCTGTCGGCCAGGTGTCCCCTGCCTGGCTTTTGAGCCCTTCGGGCCTCTGAACCACGGGAGTGGGGACTGTACCCTTCCAGAACTTCTCAAACAGAAGCTCACAGAAAGCTACTTTCTGTTCCTGGCTTTTTTTTTAGTATGAAAAAAGAACCTCTGGTTTTCACAGCAATGTTCCTAACGACTTTTCTAAAAGCCAATCCAAGACTTGAAAGACTGGTTATATTTATTGTGCTTGGTAAGGACACGGATGTTTGCTTTTCTTAAACAGAGGCTACATTAAGAAATACCACACTGTAGCTTAGAACACAGACAAATATTACTGACATCAAATATTACTGACATCAAAGAATGATAATCCTCATGATACACAATGTACTGCTGTTTTCTGCTCTATGTTGTTTTTAAAATACTAATTTATTTTTCAGATTTATGTTTGTTATATATATATGAGTGTCTTGCCTACATGTATGTAAGTACACCATGTGTATTCCTGGTATTCAAGAAAATCAGAAGACAACATCAGATCCCCTGGACCTGGAGTCACAGTTGGTTGTGAGCTAACATGTGGGTGCTGGGAATCAAACCCTGGTCCTATGGAAGAACACCAAGTGCTCTTAACTGCTGAGTCATCTCTTCAGCCCCTTGTATTATTATTTTTCAACTGTTGGTTATGACCCCAAACCTGAAGCGTTTCACACTTTCTGAACAGTCACAGTCTCTAGGGAGACGTGCTGGCTGAAATGAACTCTTCAGGCTTTGGCATACTCCTGTGACATCCATAGCTCTCTCCATGCCATTGACTCCCCCAGGGCTGCCATCAAACATTCTTGATGGGTCAAGAAGAAAGGATGCCTTTGCCTTTTCTTCTAGGTTTATAAAGTTCTGAGGGGTACCTGCCAAAGATCCTCAAGCTCTCCCACCTCTGACAGAGCAAGGCCCCTCTTCATAATAAACCCAAGATATCATAGAGGTGTGTTATTAAAAAAAAAAAAAAAAAAAGCTACCCATCTCATATCAGATTCATGTCCAGGTGAGAAAACATTCCCCCCAGACAGGCCCATCAGACTCTGAATTTATGTATTCTCATTTTCAGGCTTAAGTGAGACCTCACATTTGACTGCAGAACATGGGGTTTCTGATGCAGCAATGATACGCACTGAGAAGGCACAGTGTTGCAAACTGAAGAGGATCCCATCTGCACTGTCTCTAATAGTCTGAGGCGCCCTCAGAGTCATGCGCCCTGGCCTATCGGGCACTGAGTCAAATCCGCAGCATTTCAGAGATGCTCATCCGTGCCCTGTTTGAGTGTGTAGGCCCTCCTTGCAGTTAAGTCTCCCTGAGGGGGAGACAAGCAGCCATTCCCAGTCTCTGTGAACGCAGACAGCCACTGCCCCGTGCTTTAGGGAAGCATGCTCTTTTGAGAAGCAGTGCTCTTCCCTATGTCCCTGTAGCTGCCTCCACTGACAGCCAATCAAATCTGTTCTCCCTTTAGAGCTCAATCCCCGACCAACTGGAGCGTCCCTGGTTCTAGGTAAGCTTAGCTTTTCCTCAGCCTCCCTTTTCTGGTCAGCAGCAATGATCAAGACCATCGTCTCCTCCCCTTCTTCTCTCACCCTCGTCTATATGAGAGCATGACAGCTCGCTTGTGTGTGTGAAGGTCTTGTGCTTGCGTGCTTGCCTGCTTGACCTTTGTTTTCGGTCAGTGAGGGTATTTTAGTTATCACAGGTCCTCCCTGATGATATTGCACTTCCCCTGGGTTACCAGTGAAGGATCTCCTCTCGGGGGCAGCTGGGCACCCGTCCAACCAGCTGTTCTCAACCTAAACAGCACATTAGAATCCTTCTGACATCTTCAGCCCAGGCTCCATGTAGACCAGTTAAATTAGGATCTCTGACCTAACAGAAGATTTAACAGGCAGAAGTAATTTTTATTGTGTATGAATTTTCGTGTGTGTATACATACATGGGTGCACTCGCGTATGTAAGAAACTGGGGTGTGTGGGGGGTGGCATAGGCCAGACAATGCCAGGCGTCCTCCCCAGGAGCACCATCTCATTGGTCTCTCATTGGCCTGGAACTCACCACTTAGACTAGATTAACTCACCGGTGAGGCAGCCCCAAGGATCCTCCTGCATGACTACTCCCCCGTGTCGGGATAGTAAGCAACCATCACCACGC